GCAACGTGCATTGGGCGACCTCGAGCGCTGGTACCTCGAGTGGAAGATCTGAGTGAACCCGGAAAAAACTCAGGCAATAACCATGGGATCATCCTGTATAAATACAAGTAGAAGTCAATATCCTCATATCCAAATTTGAACGCTTACCAGACAAAGACACAAAATATCAAAAAATGAAAGACAAACAAAAGGCTCTTCAACAGGATATGAAAAGCATACAATTCACAAAGCCACACACCGAAGAAAGATAGAAAACCAGAAGGAAACAAACACAAAGGAAACCAAATCCATCCAGCCCTACATCAGAGGAGTTACAGGTAAAATAGGAAGAATTCTAAAACGACACAACATATAAACCAACGACAAAATATCAGAAATTCTTGAACCTAGAAAACCAAGCCATATAGAAATTCGCAGGTGAAGATTGCAGCGAGGAATACGCTCATCAGCTAGCGGTAGTACGGTATAGCCAAGTGCACAGGTTAGGCAACACTTGATAGCAGAAACAATACAAATGCACAGAGTCATTATACATTATATTTTTCGAAATATCGAAAGGTTCTTGTAGAGTCAGATCAGATCGAACCAGATTGAAAGATACACTAGATTATTACAAAGCAAATAGAGCGAAATTCTACAATTCATCACTTATTGAAACTGAAGAAGGTAATAAGTAATAAAAATGATGCATTCACCATTATTATGAGTAACGGTGTAACTCTGAAGTACTTCACAAAAATGGTTCGAAACGAGTGACACAGTCGTTGATGAGACTTCAAGTAATTCCTGTCGTATTCGCAGTCAACGCATATACCTCTAAAGTTGTCAAATACATAGCATACAAAATGTTCAATACTACATGTTCCTCCTACCTTGTCCCAACAGCCCTGATTATGTTTTTTCTACTTTCCTTTAAGTTATAACATGTCTGTGTAAAAAACTCTGTATTTTATTTTGTCTATGTGTTTGTACATAATTATGTGCTCGTGTATGTATATATGTATGTATGTATGTTCATGTGTACGTGAGTATGCGTGTGCGTGCACGTAATTTTTTGACATTATAACATTTATATTACTCTTTTAATATTCCTGTTCATGTATTCATTAAAATTATCGTGGCTCATGTAAGTTATAAAATGTCTGTATCAAAAGTTCTGTATTTGGTTTTCTCTATATATTTGTGTACGTGATTTTTTGACATTATAATCTTTGTATTACTCTTTTAATATTCCTGTTCATGTATTCATTATAATTATCATGGCTCATGTACATTTAATATTTAAGTCATACATGTATGAGATAAACATAATCGATAAACTGATTTAAGGCGGATTTTCGATGGCAAGAAAAAAGCTGAGAAGTCAAAATTAGGGTCCACCTATAGTACTAGTCAAATAGATATCACCATTTTGTAATATTTTCTTTCAGTACATTTTTCTTTAGATGATACCACAAATTTATAATATTTTACATTTTCTCATTGACAACCCTGCACAAATTGAATGAAATGAAAATTGTTTACTAATTCAATATATTTTCGCCACATAGTCATTTCGGGGTTAACCAATTTCATGAAAAGAATGTGCTGATTATGCTCAATTAGCTGTTTACTACCTATATGTTATGTTAAAAGTAGGGGGAAAATGTCTGAAACAAAATCTAGATGACCTGTGATTGCTATTAAGTATAGATAATTAGATCTACAAGGCTAACTTGTTTCAAGGAATACTGTAATTGGACACGACTAATAAAAACAATTGAAAAACAATATGTAGTATTTGGTTACGATCGATTTAAGTACGGTGGGAATAGAATTGATACTGCCACTCATGGAATTCGATCAGATTCGATTAAATTATATTATTTGTCACTACAAAAGAAGTTGACTCTATCATTTCATTTGGAAGTGTGCAAAATCGGCGCCACACGAATATATTGAGAGATTTACTTACAATTTTCGAAGACAGTGTTACAATCATTTTAACTATTTGAAAGTTGTATGTATTTGCTGTCTTGGAATTCAATTATGTGCGATCAATAATGACAATCTTGAATTATTAAGATGCACAATCACTACAGGAATCTCCCCAAAACGCTCAGAATGCAGGGCTGGTGCGAAAATGGCCATCAACGATGGATTTGAATCATCCTGAACAACTATTCTCAGTGATATTTTGACAATAACCAAAAGTATGTATTTTCAGAAACGAAAATGGGTTTCGTTTCACCATCAAAGCCAAATTGGTTTCCAAAAACTGACGATATTCTTCAATTTTATTTCGTCGAGCCTGATCCCACAATCTTGAATTAAAATTCAAAAATTATCAATCCACCGCACTTCTTGTAATATCAAAACAAAAATGCGACCTCAACTTTCAAAGTGAATCAGTATATAAAACAAAACGAACTAAATTGCATCCTTTCTCCAACACGCGTGTCGCATCGACTTGTCAAATCTCTCAAATTTATTTTCATGCGCGATAGTTTTAATATTTTGATATTAATTTGAATTGTATAAGACCAGTAAGACTGATCTTTTTATAGATCAGAGTTTCTTGTTGCTAGTCCGGATGGTATCACTGAAGACGGTTTATATGTAATAGAAGTAAAATGCATTTTTTTAAGAACAAAACACATGCACATGCAGGAAAATCCTCGAGGAGCTCTAAGAGCGGTGCCTGTGTGAAAGTAGCGATTCATATTGGATTTGCATCGCTGGAGATTAAATTTGGAAAAGCATTCTCAGAAAGTTTATTCCACATAAAACCAGACTATCAAGGTTGCAAGTGATGTTCGCGTCTCCAATCAGACGGATGGCTCTCTTCTGGATGGAATCCAGCAGCTTCAGGATATGCTTAGGGGCTTAGCTCCATACATGAAAACAATACTCAAGAGAAGGTCTGATCTCAGCTTTATAAAGCATCAAAAATTGCTGAGGCGTGTACAGTTTCCTGGTTTGGAACAGTGTTCCAAACTTTTGAGCTTGGAATACTTGGAACACGAAATAACTTCTAGATCCTCATAAGATACGCAACCTCCTGCTACCGGTGAACATGTGCATACACAGCCAATGTCATGGAATGCAAATGGAATGATGAGACAAGTATGCTGTCGTCAGCAAAAGAATATATTGGATTCTTGGTTTTTTCCAATTAGTCGTTGATAAACAATAAAAATAGGGTTGGAGGTGATATGAATCCCTAGAAAACACTAGCGTTGATGGTAAAAATATTCGAGAGATATCCATCGATGGCCACTTGCAGGGAACGTTCTTTCAGGAAGCTGGAGAGCCATACACAAATATGGTCCGACAAGTCATAGCATCGAACTTTGGCCAGCAAACCCTTATGCCACCCACGGTCAAAGGCCTTAGAAAAATATCAAGCGCAATAACTCTTGACTCTTTCTGTTTCTCGATTGCGTTATTCTAAATGTGGGTGACATACGATAGAAAGTTAAAGCTTTTCAAATATTTGAGCATGACTCCAGAAAAAGTCATGAAATAAAGGGAAAGAAGTGACGTGCTGAATTTGCAACATAAATGCTATTTTCAAATTCGGGGCTAATTTCGTATCACAATTGTTCCGGCAATTGTGGATAAACAAAAGCAGAATGCAGAACTTGATCGACGATAGTGATTTTTTTAATGTTATTTACCAGAATGGCATCCAGTTTTAAAAACTTCATTTGTGTAAAATTACTAATAAATTAATTCATTTTCTTGTCTGAGTTGTAATGTTGTTTATAGACTTCGATTTCATTTTATTTGTTAATTTGCAATTTGTCAAGAATATGTTTTCTTATTGAATATTTATATATGTTATTTGTATAACTGTATTATCTCTCAAAAGTGTGCGGTTGGAATATGATATTTAAGCAAAGATTAGCAAAGGAAATTCAGTTCTCCAGTTTCTTTCCTTACCACTTATAGCTGTTCATATTTCAGATGAGATACTTTGGATTCAAGTAACTAAATACATCCAAATGAGGGGGACAGTTTATAAACAGAAGCATAAGTTCATCTTTGATGAAGTAAATGAGTTTATTCGATTTATACAAATAGAAGCGTTTCAATGAAAAATGATTCTCTTCAAAGGAAAACAATTAATTTCTCATACGGAGACATTTAAATAATGTTCCAAGTAAACATATCATTCTTTCAAAATCCAAAACAGTTTTGCTTCGAGATTAATTTTGCTCAGACGAAAGAATGCATACTTACTTCTCTTGAGATAATGTGATTATTTCTATTGAAATGTATGCACAATCTTGGTGTATTTTTTTTACTTAAAAGAAGCGTTCATTCAAATTCAACTTGAGAGAATATGTTTCTCAGTTTAAAAAAATATTTCTTCATGAATATAGGAGAGCAAGATTTCTTTCAATCCAGATAATGTTCTTCACTTTGAGATTTTTATATTTACTGTGTAACCCCGTCCTGTTGAAACCACATATCACCCAATTCAGGCCACAAGAAGTTGGTAGTCATCGATCTATAGTGCTCACCGTTGACAGTGATGGCCTGGCCAACATCGTTCTCAAAGAAATTTGAACCGATTACGCCGCCAGCCCAAAATTCAAACCAAACAGTGACTTTTTCGGGATGCATTGGACGCTCTTGGACCTCATNCACGAAAAATATCAGCAACAATATTTGATAAACCTTGTGGTACACCATTGTTTATTGCCATTCTGATGAGGATGATGAGGTTTTCACAATTCAACTTCTACCTGTAAGACAATTTTCAAACCATTTAGGAGCAATTCCACGGATGCTATTGTTAATATGCGCTTTGAAAATACTTTAAAAAATGTACAGTTCAATTTTGAAAATCAACAATAACGTCATATCTAAAAAATTGGGACGAACTGTATAAATATTTGTTTCACAGAAAAGAACAGACAGACTCACACAGTGTACAACCAAATGAATAGAAATAAATAAAACGAATATTCACCCCGATTCGTTATGTCCTAAAACTCTTTTTTTTTTTTCAGTTGGAGAACATCAACTTATGTCTAAACGTCCTTCGCAGTCAGCATGTCGCCGGCGTGGAAGGAGTTTCGGCTCAAGAGTTGCGCGATGGGAAGCTGAAAGCGATTCTGGCCCTCTTTTTCGCGCTCTCGCGACACAAACAAGCGGCTAAAGCTAGAGCGCAACAGCAGCTGGGTGAAATGACGCCCAATAGGTAGGCAACCAAGAATACATTTACGTAGTATGTGTTGCGTAGTGTTGCAAGACCGATTATATGAAATTCGAGTGTATTGATATTTTGTACCAAGTATTTTTGTTGGGCATTGACTTTATTTTTTATTAACTGGACGATTTTGATCTCTTGTTCGATACGGAAAAAAAGGGTTGCTTTAAAAACTGCATTTTCATACTTTTGATTTTGTGAAATTGAAAAGCAATACACTATTACGAGTAGAACAGTCGTGGAGAGTTTTAAATAACATATTTTGCATCAGTGTCAGTGTTATCAGTAATATGCCCAAAATAAATAAATAGGTGACAGAAAAAAAATCATTAATTAATAAAAAAAATTCAAACTAATATACTTTATCTCTTTGACAAATCAAATATTACTGATTTATTTTCAGTTAACCACTAACTTCATGTCTGTTGCAAAGATTTTATTCTCATGGTGAATAATTTGAATATTAATGAAGCGTTTCTGTATAACACCACTTTCTTTTTCGATGTATCCACTTTATCGCTTATGAAATTCTCAGTAGATTTCTGGCAGTTGAATCACTTCAATACTAGTAATAGGCAGGCCTCTGTACACATTTTGTTCCAAATGCCACCGTTAGAAAAAAATAGTGGTGTTCGGTGTGGCGAACAAGATCATCTTGGATCGGTAAATAGTCCTAAGCATTTACCACCATTTTCTATTCATTTTTCAAAAACTACACCCCACGATTTAATCTCCACAAACTTTATTTTAAAAAATATATCAAAACATGTATCGCTAGCACAGTAGCTTTTTCAAGTGATTTATACTTCGAGTTGTTCCTACATTATTATTTATATACTACAGGTAACCATAATTGAGACTCCCTCGAAAAAATGTACCTGAACCTCTACCTAAGGTACCTGTTCAATTATGATCACCTGATGAGAAAAAAATCTATTCAGTTACTGAAAAACATCTCTATGGGAATGAACATGATATCCATCATGCTAAAACTGCAAATTTGATCTTTCTTGTAATATCGAGTAATACAAAGAATTTCTTATTTTCCAAAGAGTTCAAGTACCTATTGGCATTCACATTTTCTCGAAGAAAAATGAATCTATTAGTTTATTATCTGTAATATACTTCACCAAATGTATTGGTTTTTGTTATCACTACTATCTACAAACGAAATATGTTGTGATACTCCAATTGTTGTGATATTCCAATTTTTTGTAAATGAATTTGTAATAAACAATCTACTACAAAAATATTTCACGGGAGTATAATGGTGATAAAAAATAATAATTTGAGAAGAAATTTACTTTAAATTTGAAGGCTTACATTTTCAAGAGTGATTAATTTTTGGGAAACAAAGTTTTTGGCTTTCTACTACTTCATTTTGATACAAAAAAATGAATTAATTGTGTGTTTTTTCTTATAATGTTATTCAGATTAGTATTGAAGAGCTCTAACGCAAGTGTCTTACGGCGAAACATCGATTTCTACCAGTGAGGATGACAGTGTTCCGTCTAAGTTAAATTTTTACCTTTCATTTAGTAATTTTTAATAGTTTTGGTCAAAAACTTGAGAAAATCATAGATTATGTGACGCTTCCATACGCTTGAGGAACTTATTGCATAGCGAAACATGTGCTGGGGTAAACAGCTGTCCAGTGAAAATCTCATACAGAGTGATCCATCTCAGACAAGCCACCCCGTATATTTCTTATCCCATAGTGAGTGGAAAAATTTCCCGAAAAATGTCGAATGATTTTGTTTGGGGGACATATTTTGACGTATATTTTAGGCTTGAACGACCAACCCCCTAATAGGGGGTTCTTCAACCCATCAAACTTGAATAGGGGAGAGGGGTTGAGTGATACTTTATTGGAAAGGTTTTCGCCAAAAATCAGTTTTGCAGCTCGAATGAGCCACCTTGAATAATTTGGTAATTTTCACAATGTACAATGGACATTTGATTTAAACACGCAGATTTGATTTTTTGGATTGTAAGCACCATGATAAAACAATGAAATTTTTTCAAGAATGATCTAACTTTTTAACTTGCGATTCCCAGCACCACTAAGGCTAATATATGGGTTCATATATCGACACTTTTTAATCTATTCACTGTATATGGTGTTTTTTTAAAATATTAAAGTTTTATATATCACTTCAAAAGCTACGTTCATATTACTGCTCAACATAAATGCAAATGGTTTTATTCCTAATATTCATGAAGATAAAAAGTTAGAACATACATACCTACGTCTTTTTATACAGGTGCAATTCTTGAACGAGCCCAGTTTGGAAACCTGGTAATACTTGGAAATTCAAACTTTTCTTCTCCAGTATTTCAGTATCAAGAAATAATGTAAACATTAACGGTGAATATATAAAAATGTAACTGAGATTGTAAGGAATTTAGTTTATTACACAGTTTTTCCCATTCTTTTTTCATTCTCGCATTAATATTTTATTTTGAAAGTGAAGTTTTCCTACGAAGGCAAATGTCAATTCGAATTTTAATCAAGGTCTAATGAATAAGATTAATTGGCATCAGATTTTAGTTTGAAAATTTTTATAAAAGTTGGAAAATCCATTTGACATATGCAATGCAATGGTAACAAGGTTTGCCCTACCGGCATTAATTTGGTAGAGGTTTTTTGTTTGTTTCGTTGTTTTGGCGAAGGCGCTTTCGTAAATATTTTCGGGATGTATTATTTTCGATTACAAATAACATGCATCTGAAAGAGTTTGTGAATATTTCCGCACAAGTAAACTTGTAATTGACACAGTAATTGACAAATAATTTCAAAACGGAATTAGCCACAAGCGTATATATTTTGGCGAAGGTAGCAGTGTTGAAATTTTTTCGCCGAAATTATTTGAATCGAATGTTTCCCGATAACTTTTGCTTTACATTCCAATTAAAGATAACTTCATATATACGTTGAAATGAATTTTCTTGTATATCAGCTCACTATTGAAAAATTTGTTGGGTGTCAAATTGAAGTTTCATATGAAATAACAAATTTGCAATATGAATATGAGTGTATATAAATATTAAGAATTTCATGAAAAATATTAAAATAGTAACACAATTTCATTTGATATATTTCAAGTTCTTTCGACATCTGCCGAAAAGATTTGGGAATGAAATCAGTAAATTATAGTCAACTTTTTTTTTATAGGCAAAATTATTTAATGCAACACATTCGTACATACATATTGTATTCATATAGAACTAAAACTGTATAAAGTTACAATTTTTTTTTCTCAACTCCCGAAAAAGGTCGATGAAAACCATTATTTTCGCCGCAAAAATTACTCTTGTTCAGAATCGTGTGGAAACACTTGGTTTGTTCCTGTTATTATAATTTATTCTGTAGTTTTTATCACTTACTAGTGAAATGACAAAAAAGGTAACTGATGTAGTTTTCGAAAAAAATCTTCACTATTTCTTTCCAGTGAGCAAATCTGGTAACCCCTACTAAGGTTACTAATAACAATCTCGAACGCGTATTCTTTATTCTCGTAATTTGTATTTGCATCTTGGAGGACCCTGCACCCTTTTGGGTGCAGACGAAATGGAAAGAATACTGAAATTGATATCTGAAGGTGTGAGTGAAGGAAACAATATGGGGTATTTAAGATTTGCTTCTGGCTGTCCTACGGTGACTTTTTATTTAACTATCGGAAAAATAATGTTATATTTTTATTCGAAAAGACAATTTCAAATTATTTAAACTCCAAAAAGAGCCGTGCTCATTTAAATTATTCAAATCACAGTTATTTTCTGAATCTGAACCATCATGATGAATAAGCTGATGAGAAAGCTCTAGGGGCAAATAGCGGTTTTAGCATCGGCTGAATGACGAACAAATTAATAAAACTATAGATCAAGAAATTGTATGGACAGATGAAATGACGAGAGATCATTGAAATATAAAATCAGTTAGATGATAGAAAATCTTATTGAATATTTTGGAACCTGAATCTTACCCAAAATTGCCTAGATATCGATTATGGAGTAGATATCTAGGCTGAGATTCGAATAAAAATAATATTTCATACTGCCTAACATCATCTATTTGGTGAAAAACTCGAAAATATCAACCTATGCCCAAATTCAAAAAATTGGAAAACGCTGTGGCCAATTACTGATGATGACTGAATATAATGGTCAAAAGAACAATGGCATATTCATAAAGTATTCAAATACAAAACGAAGGCGTACCCAGGATTAAACCTAGTTGGTTGTGCAGGTTCTAATATTTCAGAAAATAATAGATAAATGAAATCAAAACTCTCGGAGAATCATACACCTGGTCCTGCTCAATTACTGAAGAGTTGCTGGGGTTAGTTTTTTTTGCTTACTGATGGTGATGTTGGATTAATTTGACCTTAACCATGATCGTGCAAATTATCTGAAGTTCAACGCCATGTTTTCAATATTAAAGATTATACATATTGAATAGTAAGAAAATGATAATAAACAAGACTCCTGACTACTCGACGGTGACCTTAAATTCGACCTTGATCATGAGCTTCCATTTTCTCTGCACCCTTTTGGGTGCAGAGGAAATGGAAAGAGTACTGAAATTGATATCTGAAGGTGTGAGTGAAGGAAACAATACGGGGTATTTAAGATTTGCTTCTGGCTGTCCTACGGTGACTTTTTATTTAACTATGATTTTTCCGGTTATTGAGTTCATAAAGCTTTATGAATTGAAATCTTCAGTAACATTCCTGAAAACACAAAAAAATGATTGTCTAGGATGGTCCTTATTACCCCATGCATTTACCGGATACCCTGCGAGTGCGGATGATCATACAATTTTAGAGACCTGAATCTGGCTTCGTCTTCAGATTTCAAAATCAGTTATTTCGCAGTTTTATCGTAAGCTGCTTTATTTTTCAAATCTTATACAGAAAATATCTCCTTCAAAGCCATAAATTATGAAAAAATTTGAGGTAAGGGTATCACAACAGAGTTGAACAGCGAAA